ATCTGAGTCGAAGAGTGTTGGTGGCATCGTTGATGGACTTTCTCGCCAACCCTCCGAATCTGGAACCAACTTTTGGTCTTGAAGCTCCAGAGACAAACACAACAGCAACCATGCTAGCGTGCAGTACGAGTACCAATAACAACGCATTGGCACAACATCGTGCCGCGTTATACGCCGTATGGCAAGGCATAGTACAGAGTCTCAAACGGAAATGGAAATGGATCTTGGAGGCTCTCATTGTATCCACGCGCAGTATTGAAGTTGCTGCCCGATTTTCTCCATTAATGGCCCTCACTCCAGCTGCGGTGGTGTCGTCCCAAGTCTTTGGATCTTCCTTCCTCGCCGATGCGGCCTGGTGGTACACGTTGAAAACACTGCAGGCTCTTGGACCGGCGTGGCAGAAATTGGGACAATGGGCAGCGACCCGGCGTGACTTGTTCCCCACCCATGTTTGTGATCGTCTCAGTACACTCCATGATCGAGGGTTCAGTCATTCGTGGAGATATACTCATGCTGTTTTATGCGAATCCTTTGGTCATGATTTCCTCGAAAAGGGTCTGGTGGTAAAAGAGTTGATTGGATGCGGATCGGCAGCGCAAGTGTATCGCGGATCATTACAAGATCCAAAGGACAGTAGTGGTGCAGTGCGTCAGGTTGCCATCAAGGTGTTACATCCACGGTTCGCCAGTTTGGTCGAACGCGATTTGGTCCTCCTGCGCTCCATTGCCAACTTGCTTCATTCGTTCCCCTTTGAAACGATCCACGTTCTGAATTTGCCGCGCGTATCGGAAAACTTTACTGACATTCTGCGTGCCCAAGCAGATCTACGATTGGAGGGCCGCAACCTGACCTTGTTTCGAAAGAATTTCTATGGTCCCGATGGAGCGGGCGAGGCCGCGAGTCAAGTTGTCTTTCCCCAACCCGTGAGCGAATGGTGTGCCCGCGATATTTTGGTGGAGGATCTTGTGGAGGATGCCAGACCCATTGCCGAGTTCATTCAGGACTCGTCCGACGAGGGTTGGAAGATTCGGAAGGAGCTTGCTGGTCCCTTGCTGCGATCCTTCTTGAAAATGGTCTTTATTGATTCATGGGTGCACTGCGATTTGCATCCAGGCAACGTCATGGTAAAAACGACGGACTTGGGGAATGGCAAACTGAAACGCTCAATTGTTTTCTTGGATGCTGGCATTGCGACAGCCCTAAGTCCCTTGGACCAACAAAATTTGGTAGATCTCTTCCGTGCCGTCCTGCTGGACAATGGATATGAAGCTGGCAGACTCATGGTGTTGCGCGCCAAGCATGAACGCTGCAGTCAGGTGGAAGGAGGGATTGATGCCTTTGCGAGTGGCGTTGCCGCTTTAGTATCAGAATTCCATGATCGTCGCAAGAATGGATTGACTCTGGGACACGTCCACATTGGGTCCCTGCTCCATCGAGTTTTGGACTTGTGCCGGGTTCATGGAGTCGAGATTGATCCGTCCATGGCAAGCATTGTTCTGAGCACGTTGGTTCTGGAGGGACTTGGAAGATCACTTCATCCAGATTTGAATCTGCTTGACTTTGCGATTCCATTTGTTATGGGTGGTGGGAGAGTCTAGAGGAAAAGTGCAAAAATACGTTTACTCAGAATTATCAAGACTTCTCGTGTGAACTTCGAACACATATCTTATAGATAGGAATACTTTTCGTTCCGTGTTGGAGGGACTTTCCCATCTCGTCACACTCCTGTAGGCAAAAATTCCTTATTGCCCGCCATGACCGCCCCACATGCCGCCTGTTGGATCCGCATTGTAATTCGCTTGCGCGTTGTAGGCTGCCATTTGATCTTGAAGACTGTACTGTTGCATCGCTCGGGCGTCCATTTGGGCCTGAACGGCAGCAGCTCCATTAGCCTGCGACGAGTACGGATCAGCGCCATATCCCATCATGGCGGCTTGGTTGAATCCAGCACCTCCTCCCATCATCATTTGGCCAGCAGCAGCGGCGTACATGCCCTGAGCAGCTGCACTTTCGGCTGCCGCGTACATACCCTGGGCGCCATCGGCGCCACCCATTCCGTATCCCCCATATCCACCGTACATGCCTTGCATGGCGGCGTATCCACCCAAATCCATGCCGGCGTACGGATTGGCAAAGCCAGCGCCCATGGTGGCGGCAGCAGCTGCTGCTTGGTTGGCATACGAAGCCATGGTATCACTATACCCGGATGGGATGGCCGATCGAGTAGGAAGTTCCACTGGTGCCTTGACGACAGGATTTCCGTAGGATGCTTCCGACGCCCCCTTTCCGGCATTCCATGCAGGTGGTTTGAGGGCTTCTGAGCGCATTTTCGCTTCTTGGCGGCCATTGTAGGAGAGCATTTCTTTCTTGTAACGCTCTGTGTCTTCCGCAGCCATTTCCGAGTATGTTGAAAGGCGGTCAGGATCAATTCCTTTCCAGCGTTGGCCAATGAGCTTTCCATTTCCTCGAACGAGACCTTGCCGCCTTCCTTTTTCAGGCGAGCCAGCATGGCATCGTCGATGTAGTCTTCGGAATCCTTGTCATTTTGACCTTGCTTGGATCTTCGGCAAGGACAATCTTGAGGATCTTTTCTCGTTCTTCTTTGAAGAAGAAGTTGTAAGCGAGAGAGGTCTCTTCGGCTTGTCCTTTGGCTTCTTTCGAGTAGGACGCTTCACACCCGCGGGTGCCTTGTTTTGCCCTTACCAGCAGGAGCATCACCGTCCTTTTTTGCCATGATGTTTGCTTTATCTTGAAGAAGTATTATCTGGAACTGTTAGGAACTCGTACTTGTGAGTAGAAGTTGTTTGTGCGTTGATAAGTGACGTGAATCTGAAATCTGAATAACAGCAAGTGAAGAAGACAAATAAGTCAGCAATGTGCCATGCGTCAGCGAGCCCAACAAACAAAACGAAATGGTTCAGTCAAACACATGTGATCGTAATAGACCTTTGTGAGCTGCACCACATATGGTGCAAAGTTGCATGCTCCTGCTGATATTAAGTGTGGCAGCGTAACAAAGCTTAGCGTGCATGTGCCCATAGTGGAAACACTCACATGGCGAAACAAGCATAAAAATTCCAAACAACAACCTAAATATGCGATACAACGACACCACAAGTTCAAATCCAAACAGTCACTGACTTAAGTAGAACACCCGTGCACGATGGTACGAGGAATACTTAGCGATCGATTCAAAAATTCGGAAGGGATCGCCGTCTGTATATACACTGTACGAATGTAGGTACGTGTAAAACAATATTGAATACGCACATATCCAGAGAGAACTGGACGGAGGACAGACCGGACAGACGGCCATGACACTCGTCCTTCACAGCCGCCATGGCTGGCGACATGGTCAACTCTCCAATCCACAGGATAGACCTCCGATCGACACGCGTTGCAAACAAGCAGCTGTACTGCTTGCTGGGTCGTCGTCGACGAGGTGTCGTTCCAAACGATTACGAGGTACGAAGCAAGTGACAAAAATGCGTATGATGCTCCTCCAGCGTTGTCCGTTGGATCCTCCTTGTACACTCTCGCGGCATGTGTGGCACGATCCGTGGCAGAAGTGTTGGTTCCGCCACTTGGTTTGTTATAATGTTGAAGTGGATGAATGCACGGTTCAACATTTTGAATCAAAGCCAAGGGTAGTCGGTCGTAAGCGATTGTTGGACGATCCATGATGTTGGTCATAATCATGAACGCCTTCTCTTCCACACGATCAATCGTGAAATCTGGTTCATCGGCAATCGACGCATCTTTTGTTTACAACATATCGCAACGCAACGAGAAGGAACAATCGATAGGATCGAGACAATCCCATTGCAATGGAGTACGAGACAAAATGTGAGGATTGCCACTTACATTGATCGTTGACAACCAGTGAGGCCTAAGTATCGATCGATGTATGCAGAGCAATTAGGTTTGTAACTTGTGTCGTCAGTCGACGTTTAGGCCCCGATTAGAGGTGTTCGTTTTCGGCTTCTACGGAGGAATCAGTATGTTCCTACACAAATAGAACGATGCCGAATTTGTTCGGCCCTTTCCCAGTCCGTGAGTCAGGGAGATTCATTTTTGATAGATACTGGTATCAAGGAATTTGGGAACGCCTTAAATACTGCGCACGCACTTGCGCTTCTATCCTGAATAATTATACCTGAATCGGTGTATCAACGAAAATGGCACGTGAAGGTCCGAGTAAGTGTTGTTCTAATTGGACTGTGGGACTGAAAGGTCGTCGTCTGCGACAGTATGACCTTACCATTATCGCTTTCTCTTGATCAATCCACTGCTGCCGCAGAATCTCTGCAAACGAAGATGATGCAATGTTCCTCGCTCATGGTTGGAAAGAAATCATGACTATGCGCCTCGCCTTACAATGAAGTGGAGAATTCTTGACTCGATACGTACTCCGACTACAAGCACGACGTTCGTCATCGAGTGATCTCAAGCATGAACAGAGATATCTGAAGTGGGTTCTGCCTCCGCAGAGCTACTCACTAATCTTCTGTGCTACTAGCAGACTTGCAGAATACGGCAACCTTCTACGATTGCGAAGTATTCCGTTCTTACTACTGGGAGGGGTCTAATGCATTCTTTCACCTACTCATATGGACTTCGAGTGTTACAAATAGTATATAAGAAAGTTTCCATCTTTCTCGTGAGTGACTGTGATCAGCACTGCCCGCGCCGGATCAGCGTGATTTCCCTTCAAGTTGTGGGTGCATACTGCATACCATACATTGACAATTCACATATCTACAAGGGAAGCGTCGGTTTCTTTTGACTTGCTGATGCTCTTGATACGGTCCTCCACACGCAAAAAAAACTCGACGTAATCACGCTAACACCAGGATTGCTCTAAAGATGTGTCCCGAACGCAAAATCCAACAATCTGATCGATGATCATCACCTGTCATCGTGAAAAAGGTAAGTGGCATACGACGTAGACCATAGACAAAGAATTTGTCCAGGGTGTAAATCGGGACAAAAGAGATACATGTCCCGAGCGTGAATCGAACACGCGGCCTCAAGATCTTCAGTCTTGCGCTCTGCCGACTGAGCTATCGGGACACATACCTCACACAATTCGAATCAAAATATAACAATGCTGTATACCTGCATTTGCAATTAATAATCCACTTGTAAGTTGGCCGGGAGTGCCATTCGGGCTCTGAAGGACTGGCCCGAAAATACGAACACGCGTTAACAGACCGTTACATGACATATTTCGGATCGTTTGTAGTGTACCTTTCTCTCCCAATTCCTTGAACTTCGATGAGATCGTGCACCATTGTACTCCATGTATGTAGAGGTCTCACGTAGTGCACGATCTCATCGAACTTTTGGGTTTTGGTGAAGTTGATGATTGCTTCCTTCCACGGGGAAGCAAATTAAACATGTGTGTTCGAATTTTTCAGTTAAAAAATGGGATATGTGTCGAATTTCGTGCCAACCCTTCAGAGCCCGAATGGTCTCCCTAGAGAGTGTACTGATAGTTAGTCCATTGGACTACTGTATCAAACTTCCGTTCACTTTACCCGCAAGACGTGCTTACATCACATCTCTCAATCAATCGTCACCATCACTGGAACTCCAACTATCGGTACTGTCTAGTTCCTCTCCAGATCTCAAGCCACACATCAGTTGAGCCTTTCCGTGTGTAGGTTAGTTTCCATTCAATGGTATCATTGTGGCCATTATCTCATTCCATTCTGTCGCGAGAAACAGTCTGAAAGGTGTTAGGAAAGTATGATTCTGAGTATCGCTCCTACCAGTAGACGCCCAATGGCAACCATGATGAGACGGATTGAAAACCACGACTTCTTTCTCTCCCGTTTCAGAAACACTACCGGTCGTGGCAATCTATGGTTCAGCACGATGAGGCCGTTCACACAACATTTGCCTCGCAGGAATCGTCCTCGACTACCCGCTGCAACACTGTCGTCCAAGTCGCAATCGATCGCGCCACAGGCGATAGCTGCTGGTGCTTGTAGCCTACCTCGATTCTTCTCTGTTGAATCTAATGCTAGTACCGTGCAGGAAGCAGGAGTCGAAGCGAAGCAAACAACAAGTCGAGAACCTAGTAAGACGACCACGAACCCGGCGAATGAACTCAACCAGAGAATCTACATGCTCGGGCAAGACCGCAAATGGATCGAAATCTTGCGGCTGCATAATGAGAAAAAGGAGTTGTTCAACAACGCATGCTACGCAACAACAATGAGTCAATTGGGACGCATCTCATCGTTTAAGAAACGTGATCCACTGTTTCTGGCCTTTCTCGACGACTTGAGAGAGCAACTTCGATTGCGTGGTTTGGATTGGATGGGTGCTCGTTCGTTTGCTACGATTGTACATAGAATAGCAAAGATGCAGCTCCGAGACAATGATCGAGCAATGCATATCATCAGTCTGATTGAGAGTAAGGAGAATGCTGAATGGCTGTTTAAGAATGCCAACTCGCAAGAAATCGAAAATTGTGTGTGGGCTTGTGGGAAACTTGGAATCCATTCACCAAACCTGTTCAGGCTGGTAGATCGAGAGGCACAAACGTTATTTGACAAAGGCAATCCGCAAAACATCGCTAACATTGCGTGGGCTTGTGGAAGGCTCGGAATCCAGGCGCCCAAGCTATTCCTACTGATAGATCAAGAAGCACAAGTTCTATTAGACAACGGCAAACCACAAGACATTGCAAATGTTGTTTGGGCATGCGGTAAGCTGGGAATCCATTCGCCAAATCTCTTCAATGTGCTTGATCGCGAGGCAGGAAGCCTGGGCAAAGGCAAGCCACAAGACATTGCAAGCTGTGTTTGGGCTTGTGGGAGGCTTGGAATCCATGATTCACCCAATCTATTTCGGTTGCTCGAGCAAGAGGCCGAGCGCTTGTGTGACTATGGTGATACGCAAAGCCTTGCAAATTGTGTTTGGGCTTGTGGAAAGCTTGGTATGAACTCTCCAAATCTTTTCAAAACGCTTGATCGCAAGGCGCAACTGTTGTTCGGCAATAACAAGCCACAAGAAATCGCAAACTGTGTGTGGGCTTGTGGAACGCTTGGGATCCCTTCACCCAATCTGTTTGGACTGCTTGATCGAGAGGCACAAAACTTGTTTGATTATGGCAAGCCAATAGACATCGCAAACTGCGCTTGGGCGTGTGGTAAGCTTGGAATCAAGTCACCCAATCTGTTCAGTCTACTTGATCGCGATGCAGAACGCTTGTTCTATGGCAAGCCACAAGACATTGCAAGTTGTGTTTGGGCTTGTGGTAGGCTCGGAATCCTTTCACCAAATCTGTTTAGAATGCTCGACCTCGATGCAGAACGGCTGTTCCACAAGGGCAACTCGCAAGAAATCGCAAATTGTGTTTCGGCTTGTGGAAAGCTTGGAATTCATTCAACCAATTTGTTTACCTTGCTGGATCGCAACGCAGAACGGTTGTTTGTCAAGGGCAACTCACAGGAAATTGCTAGCTGCGTCATGGCTTGCGCAAAGCTTGAAATCGGTTCACCCAATTTGTTTAAGGTTCTCGATCGCAATGCAGAACAATTGTTTAACAACGGCGACGCGCATGAAATCGCAAACTGTGTTTGGGCTTGCGCAAAAATGAGGATCAAGTCGAAAATTTTGTTTAGATTGCTGGATCGCGATGCAGAGCATTTGCTTGACAAGGGCAACTCTCAAGACATTGCAAACTATGTGTGGGCGTGTGGGAAGCTTGAAATAAATGCAACCAACTTGTTTAAGGTGCTTGATCGCGAGGCAGAACGCTTGTTGGGTAAGGGCAACTCGCGAGAAATCGCCAATTGTGTTTGGGCTTGTGGGAAGCTTGGAATCAAGTCAACGAATTTGTTTGCGTTGCTGGATCGCGAGGCAGAACGTTTGTTTGCCAAGGGCAACACGCAAGATATCGCTAACTGTGTTTGGGCTTGTGGAAAGCTTGGAGTCAAGTCAACCAATCTGTTTACGTTGCTGGATCGCGAGGCAGAGCATTTGTTCAACAAGGGCAACTTACAAGAAATCGCTAACTGTGTTTGGGCTTGTGGGCAGCTTGGAATTAAGTCAAACAATGTGTTTACGCTGCTGGATCGCGAGGCAGAACGTTTGTTTGCCAAGGGCAACTCGCAAGATATTGAGAGCTGTCTTAGGGCTTGTGCCAAGCTTGGCATGGAGTCGCCCAATCTGGTAAGGCTACTTGATAACTTGACTCCTGTCTCGGCTACAGACACTCTTGTCTGAATGGCCAACAGAAGTGATCCGTTGCCTTGCAAGACATGATTTCCCAACAGGCAGACTATTTTCGATATCAACCCGAACGCGATTTAGGACTTGCAGCGTCATACAAACACGCATTCGTCTCTCTCATGATTGGTGGGACGCATCAAGTCGAGATCATACGAAGGGTTGGTGTCCAGACGACAAAAGGAGCTTAGGCCGATTTCGACAGTCGAGTTGGAATACGCCAAAAAAGACCGATAACTAGAAAAAACATTTAATCGGATCTACACACACTTGGCACTGCACGTTGCTCCTTTGGGAGACCAAGTATTGCATGTAGTTACGTTAAGTAGGAAGCAGACTTCACTACTAGATTGGCGAATGGCGCTTGAGAGAACACAATCATTTTGACGATGTTGGACGAACACTTTGCTGTTGGCTGGCCCACTAGTTGTCCGAGACACAGCATGTTATTATGTTTTATGTTGTCGAATAGGGAAGCAGAACATTAGTTTGGCGACAGGCGCTTGTAAGAATACCCCAATATGGATGCTCTCAATATGTTACTGTCGTACTGGAGTACTGTATCACCATAGGTAGCACGTGAAAAGGTCAGTACTGTGACGTCATGCTTGACGTCATTTCCTTGCATTCTAATCGAACCCATGTATGACCAGAGATGCCGGACGACGTTAGACTACAGGTACTATACGTACCGGTAGGCGAAACGCCGAATTCTAAAGGTGTGCTGACGTGCGGACAGACAGACCGCGCGAGCGCGAAGCCGGAATCCCGATTCAAGGGCGGTTAAATGGGCAGTGATAAAAGGCGATGTTTTCAATCGTAAGCGTGTATGGGATATGCAGAGTAGGAATCAAGGCACCCCAGGTCGTGAATATCCAAGTTAAGTCACACAACTTCGGAAACGTTTTGGTAAGAGTGGAAGAAGCAGTGCAAGAAAACTGGGATTCTCAGGCAACACATTCTAACACAATCAGCGAATCGTGATCAGAAAGCACCCCGAAGCAGACATTCGAGAGGCAGCGCACTTTTTTCAAAGTAGTCAAGTCGACGGCGATAGCACACACACGACTTGGACGTGCACAATGATACCTGACTGGGCGCTGATGAGCCCACCGAACCTATTCGGAGACCTGTTCGGAATTCTGCTCTTATTCCAGGTGATGCCACCGTTCCTACTCCTACTCCTACCCTTGTTGCCGCTCCTGCTGGTACACTTGTCTCTACTCCTGTTCTTGAGGCAAATTGTTTGCCTGTGGCAAAGATAACCCCCAAGCCTACTCCAACGCCACGACACCAAGAAAAACTGCCAACAAACTCGACCTTGTCAAGAAGAATCTCGCACCCGATCACGGCCTTGGCGACGGAGCGGACGACTTCGTTCATCTTCATTAAGGGATCAGGTGTTTTGAGGCCTCGCAATGGTAAAATTGCCGTCCTTGTTGGGCCTTCACGAACGACGCACAAGAAAGGAGAGCCACCCACTCCTCAACTGCCAGTTTGTTGAACACCCCACGTATGTGTGGTACACTCAGGACGATAGTTTGTATGTATACCCCACACATGACAAGGTCAATGTTGAATTTCTGTCATCACCGAATCCACGAAATTGGGATGACGAAAAGGGCACATTTTCCCGGCAGTGGCATCACAGCCCTCTCGCACCTACGCGTATTCATAATTTTCATACGAACCATGATGATCGTGTGCAATTCGAAAGACGAATGAATACAGAATAGGAATACTGTAGTTCGTAGTACTGTTATGCGTTATCCGTACTCGTAGTAGATTAGGGCTCGAATGATAGTTGTATGACATACATAGTCTACAGC